AAACTGTTGGGATATAATTTTAATGAGTATGGAATAAAAATCTCCAAAAAAGAACCTGTTACTTCGCATATTAATTGCAAAATATATTCAAAATTTTTTAAAATTTAATTATTTTTTTTTTCATTTTTTCATTTGTGAATTATATTATTGGACAAAATTTCTCTTTTTCCGTGATATACTCTCACATTTTGATAAATTTTACATAATTAAACTCGATATATTTTAATTATTTTTATGTATATATAAAATGGACACCGTTGATCTTTTTTTTTTTTAATTAGTGATTCGTTTGTAAAGTGCAATGTATAGTTTTAAAAGTGTATATATGTACGAAATTCACGGATGAAACAACTTTTTTCATCAAGAGAACGAGTGTTTCGCTTTGAAAAGTTCAATACTTGATTTGCAAAAAAAAAAAAAAGAAAAGAAAAACAGATGGTGGGGTTTTATTAGACAACTCAATACAGACATGATGTCCAAATGAAGCGCGTTAATTTCCCCATTAAATGTATGAGGAATTCAAGTTTACGATTTTCTACGTCGAAGGACATAAAATTGTTTTATTATATATAACAGAGTCGTCTCTCTCATCCTCAATTTCGGATCCATTTTCCACACTCTTAAAAAAAAAAAAAAAAAAGTTTTTATTGTCACCAAATAGAAAAAAATTTAGATTTTAATTTTTCTTTTTAAAAACAAAATTACATATCCAGAAAAATGTTTCTTTGAAAATAAAAGAAGTATTTCTTTGATTCAAAGAAACATTTTTCTGGCTGTAAATTATAATTTTAGGAGGAAAAAATCTACAATTTTTTCACAAGTTATTAAATTTGTATTTATATTTTTTTTCCAAAATGATATAAAGAATGAAAAGGAGATTATCTGAAAGTTTCCTGTCGGCTTCTAAGACTTTTATTCCCTTTTGTTCTACATATTCTGTACCAAACCAAAGGCAAAACCCTTCAAATACTTTCACGTTCTTGTACATATATATACATATATATATATATATAATGTTAGCTACTTTGGAGTTTAGCGACTTCCGTCTTGGCATTGCACATCCTGATATCAAACGAGAACCAAGAAAGGAAGGAAACAAGCAAGCAAAAGTAGATTCCCAGACCACGTATCAACGTTGCATATCGAGCGCATTTTCGATTCTTTTTATCGAGTTCAATCCTCCCAAAAGTTCACCTTGCAAATACTCTACATTTTTTTTTCTTCCAAAAAAATGTTAATTATTTATAATTTTCAAAAATTAAAACAATACTATTTTTTTAATATTTTATCTCACAGCCTTATTTGATTCAAATATAAATTTTTTTCTGATTCAAATAAATTTTTATTTGATTTAAATAAATAAGAGAAGAAAAAAAAACATCTATTATAATAAATATAATAATAAACTCGTTAATGTCTAACACCTGGAATTGATTAATTTCGAAACTTTGGGGGAGGGGCGAAAGGGTAAAAAAAATTATTGAGGAGTGGGGGGAGGGGGGTTGACGATAGGGACAGAAAAAGGGTATGGTGGAGATATTTTAATGGAAGTTTGAACTTAAGATATTTTGTTGAACGGAGACGAGAATCTCATCGGGTGAGTGAAGCGATTGCATAGCAAGGGAGAGAAAAGCTGATCCAGTGAAGTGTTCATAATGAGATGTTAATGGAGTGGGCGTAAAAAATGCAGGCGTCACGTCACGGTATCGACAGCTACTCTTCCCCCCCTCTGCTCTATTCGTTTTGGTCTTCTATTTTTGACTCTTTACTCTTTTACACACCCTAGTCTCTTCTTATATATGTATATATATATATATATATATATATATATATATATATATAAGACTCCTTTTACCAGGAAAACTATCGCATCTTCCCCCCCCCCTCACCTTGTAATCTATTTTGTCTTCTACAGACTTCCTAGATTCGTCTCTAAAGCCGCCCACCTGGCCAAATGAACTTTCCTAAAAAGCTCTTCGACGTTTAACGAGAATCACTGAGGAGAGCAGTCTTATATCCCTCTGGGTATACGTGACAGTGGGGTTGGAATTTCCCCCCTCTCTTTCTCTCTATCTCATTCCACTCTCGATAAACGATTATCGACGAAAAGACAAATTCTAAATTACCCCTTGCGAGTTAGAATTCAATTATATGCTTTCAGTGAAGTGATTTCGAAAAAAAAAAAAAATATTGTTCTTATAATGCAAATTCCAGTGTTTATGAAAAAAAAAAATTTGTTCGACTTTTTTTTAAGTATATTTATATTATTAGAAGTATATTAATTAAATTTCATACGCATTTTAATTGAGAATAAAAATTAAAGTAGAATAGTCAAGGTACAGTCGGACATCAGTAGGTAGGAGAAATTTAAATACCTAATTGGTATAGGTAAAATTTTCAAATCAACGGTCTGACCCAATATGGATTTTTCTACTTGAAAATTAATTTTAAACCTGAAATTAATCCTAATCGAAAAATTAATATTTATCTAAATAATAATAATTATCTAATTTTTGAAATTAATTTTAATCTAAAGATTAATCTTAATCTAAAGATAAATAAATTTTCTAATTATTAAAATTAATTTTAATCTAAACATAAATAAATAAATTTTTAAGTAGAAAAACCAATGTTTAGTCAGACATTACTTCCAGAGTGAAAAGTGTCTTTTACCAACTACATTTAACGAGATTGAACTTCCGATTCAATACGGGGGTTTTTTTTAAATATTAAAAAATAAATTTAAAATTTAAGTAGTATAAACAATGTACAATCAGACAAACGTCAATAGAAATACAATTTTTACTAAACTATTAAATGACCAGAAAATTGTCATGTCTGACTCAAAATGACTTTTACTACTTGAATATTAAACTTCAAGTATTCAAGTAGAAATGATCAACGTTAAGTCAGACACGAGAAAAAATCCTTTAATATTTCACAAAATTCTAAACAACTTAATCTATAATTCAATTCACTTCGATTATGTAATTATTAACGCTTTAAATAAAAATTAAATTTCGTTTCAAATAATTTAAAACCAATTTTAAATATAAATTACTAAATTATTTTCTTCTCCTCATTTTTTGATTGTAACTATAAACGAGTTTAGAGACTTTTTGATACTCATAAACTTAACAAGAAAATTGTAATTTCACAAACTACACAAACTTTTGTCATTTCGTTCTTTCTATTCGTTCAATTTGAAAACTACAAGGCCTTTATCTGTAACACAATTTTTTTTTCTTCACAAACTTAAAATGTGTCAGAGAGAGAGAGAGAGAGAAACATTTATGAAATAAAAATTGTAAAATAAAAACGAAAATTGTATATGCAAAATAAATGAATGTAAAATATTTTTATAACTCTACAGAAATGCATTTAAATATGATTTTTTAATGAGTTCTTGTTCTCGAAAAGTATTTTTTTAAAAAGAAAAATTCTAAAAAGTACCAAAAAAATGGAATTTGTTAATTTAAAAAAGGATTTGAAATTACAAAAACAAATATATAAACATCGTAAATTAAATTTAGTTTTCACATAAAAATGTTAAGTTTCCAACACAGTTTTTTTCCTCTTTTTTCTCCCTTCCCCCCACCCCCCTTTATCGCGAGATTTATCGTGTTTCGGCAAATACATTTCATTTGAAAAATAAATCAGGGAAAAAATTACTGGCGGAAAAACGGGTGCAAGGTTGTCACGTCGTCGTTTTATCTGCATGTATATATATATACTTTTAAAAGCCCACAATGAAATTGGGTTTCACTGAAAAATTATTCACAAATCGGAACTCAAATACTGGGCCGAACATTGAATTGCAATGAAGCTTTTGCTATATCTTGAAAAAAATCGCGGCCGAGAATAAATACAGAAAATATTCCGATACAAATATTTTTCTTCTCTTACTTGATTCTTACACTTTTTTGCAAAATTTAATTTTTTCATCTTCTCTAGTATAAAGACGCAAAAAAAGAGTTTATTTTCAGTTTTTCATCTATGTGTATATAAAAAAATAAAAAAAAAAAAAAAGTGACAAAAGTGAATAATAAAAAAGCGTTTTTATAGGATGCGTCATAGTTACGTTCTTTTTTTTTCGTAACATTCGAAAATTTTTAGTATGCGAATTTGATCTCGAGTCGGATATAGCTCAGCAGAATTAATCTCGTTACACCTAGCTTTCAAACGATTTTTTTATGCTCGTCACTGGGATTTAATCCTTGCTGAGTGTGTGTCTTTTACGACGCATGTGAAAGGTTTCGAAAAAAAGTACCTACGATGCAGTGAACAGAATTTTTCTTTTTTTTTTTTTTTTTTTTTTTTTAAACACATTATCCACAATTAAGTCAACCGAACTGAATATACGTGATTTACCATCATTAAATTACAACGATCTTGTTAACTTGATTTACGTATTTAAAAAAAATGTAATTTCTCTTGGAATTTATTTTTTATGTAGCTCGATTTTTGCACTATGTTACTATGGTAACTTTTTCAAACAGTTTTTTTGATAAAACCAATGAAGGGCAAAAAAGATTTATCTTTGAAATATATAATTCAATCTTTGTAAAAATTTAAAAATTTTATAAATGCAATTTATTCTCTTTAGTAAATTTTACTCATAAAATAATATATTTTTAAATGAGAATAATCTCTATAGGAGAATAAAATAAATATTTTAAAATTATTTTTTAACAAAATATTGTTTGTTAAACAATATCAATAAATTGTCAATTTTACATGAAGGAGAAAAAGAAAAATTTCATTAGATTTTTTTTTTTTGTTTGAAAAAATAAACAAAGTAACAATGCATTTTCTATCGGTAAAAGTGCAGTCGGTGGAAATGTAAGATAAGCTGTCATTGAAAGAATTCCTTCGTCAAGGATGTGATAAATATTGTTTCTGGGCTGAAAAATCTATATAAATATATATATATAGATGTAGAAACACATATAGACAAAATGTGATCATGTCAAAATGACTCTTTGCCTTCATTTTTCCAGGCATGTTGTACGTAAGAAGAGCGGAAATAGAGGTCCGCACGAAAGATGATGGAGTTAAGTAGATAGAAGACCATTCCTGGCACCATCAAGCAGACGCTACTTTGCGGCGCACGATGCTCTGCTATCTCACTCTAACTATTCTCTTCGTCGTTAATGTGCCATTCGGTAAGTATCACTTTATTTCATTTAAAAAAAAAAATTACAATTCCAATCGATGGGGAAAAAGCCAAAAAATCAATTTATTCTAAATTTGAGAATATTTTCTAATAAAGAATTCACGATTTAAAGAAATTATAAAAAATATTAAATTACACTTAAAAAAAAATTTATTTGATTCAACTAATTGATTACTTGACTCAAATAAATATTTACTTGGACCGAATAATTTTTGAATCAATTAAATTATAGTTGTTTTAAATACAGAAATTACTGGGTTTATTTAATTTAATCATCTGGTTTCAAAAATTATTTGGTTTATGTAAATATTTATTTAATAATAGTCAAGTAATTGATTATTTAAATCAAATAAATTTTTTAATAAGAATTTTCTAAAAATAAATTTACATATTTTTAAACAGAAGCCAAAATATATTCTTACTGCATTTTCTGTTAATAATTTAAGTGTTTATTAACTTTAGTATTTAAATAAGAATTATTTTTCGAAATCAAATCAAATAATAAATATTTAAAAACTAACAAGATAATATAAATATAAAATTAATGAAATAATTAAAATTCACTATATTTTTAAAGTAAGAATTTATTTCAATTTATTAAATTGCATTTTGAAACATTTTAAAATAAATGCCAATTATTATCCATTTTCACTGCGATTTTAATAAGTTAAACAAATTAACAAAAAAAGATCGATAAAATAAATAAAATTATTCAGACATGAAAATAATTTGACAAATGACATTATATAAATTAAATTAGTGAATTGTAACGAGAATAATTGGACACGATTTGTCGAAAAATATAATTGGAAATATTCGTCCTTTTTTTGGTACGAGATTTTATTTAATAATTATAAAAACCAGAAAAGATATTTTTAAAAATATAGTTAAATTTATCTTAGCTTCTTTTTTTGAAATAAAATTTCAATTTTATTATTTTACAATAAGAAAAAAAAGAAATTGAAATATGTGCAAAATAAATATGAAAATAAATTTCTGTAAAAGGGTTAGAAAAAAAAATGATCTTTGGTATGAGTCAATTCAAAATGGAAGCTGCATTACTAAAATGATGCTCGGTCAAGAGAAATGATCACGTCATTTGCAGATGTAGCAAATGTCGGTGCCAAATACCTATATACAGGTCGCGGGAAATAGGACTGGATATGCGCGACTGGTCAACTTCTGGCGACGATAGGACTGCTCTTGTCATTTGAATTAATTTTCTCGATTTGGGTCGAGATACATCTACAACCATCCTTGAACTATTCACTTCCCAAGCACTATCAAACTTACTTAATAATATAACTATTCATCAACAAATAAATAAAACTTTTAGCTCCTATATAGTCATTGCAAAAAAATATATATTCTCAAATTGAGAATAAAATACAATTCAATATATTTTACTCTCAAAATGAGAAGATATTTTATAAATATATTCTAAATTTAAGAATATATGCGAAATTGCAAAATTCGAATAAAAATATATATGAAGAGGAATATAAATTTTTTTTTTGGAAAAAGGCACAAAAAATGTAATATGAAAAAGAATCAGCGTTGAAATCTTTCGAAATCGACGTTTATACTTGAAATGAACATTATTTGATAAATTTTCTAACGAGTAAGTTGAAAGAGCAAACGATCATAATTGCGCGCGATATCTTAGACAGGAGCAGCACTTTTGGAAAATCAAGGGTGAAAGAGAGAGAAAGAGAGAAAAACTGAAAACTATGTGATCATCACATCCAATCGAAATTACCAACTATACTTGAAACTTTCATAAAAGTTTTATTAATCAAAAGCCATTCGCGAGAGAATTTTGATTTCACGGCAGAAAACGTCGAAGTTTGTTTCTTTCAGTTTGTATAGTTAATTAATTAAAAACTATTTCTCGATTACAAAGGTATTTCAAAAGTTCAAAGTTTTACATAATTTTCACATTATGGCTTTTATTAACTTTTATGGACATTATTATCAAATATATAATTTATTTATTTACTAATTCTATTCAATTCTTACCAGAAATAAAAACAACTGAAGTAATTTTTTTATTGTTATTGTTTACTAACTACTGAAACAAAAAATCAAACAAAAATTTTACTGAAAATTAGTTACTGTTTACTAATAATTAGTTTTTACTAATTGTTTTACTAATAATTATTTTTAACTAATTCAAATTTAGAGAGCACGAAAACCGATTTTTTACTCTTGAAAATAGATTTTTATAGAAAAAAAAAAAAAAAAAAAAAAAAAAAAATTGGAGGCATGAATGTCAAACGGTTAACTTGTGACCGAGATAGTATTGTTTAGAGATATGGCAAACGGTTGTGACTGGACGATTGTTTTATTTTCCCTCTTATCGGGTGAAACAACGACCTTTCCGGTCAAATTGGTTGGCTCAACTTAACCTCGTGTGTGGCAAACGTGATTAATCGTCCTTTTCCTTCGCGGATGTACTGATTCTCGCATTGCGGATTCTACATCTGTATATATACACACACATATATCATTGATAAATCTCGCGATATATAAACGCATCTCGAAAATTCAATAAAGACAAACATCAAAACAATAATTATTTTTTTTAAATAATATTAATAATTTCTTCTACAACTGTCAAACTAAATGTGATTTTTTTCTACTGAATAAAATTATTAATTTAAAAATAAAGTAGAATAATCAAAGTATAGTCAGACGTATATTTTTATTAATGATCAAAACAATCAATCAAAAAATAAACTTTTTCTCTATTTAAATATTAAAATGTAATTTAGAAATTACAAATATAGAATTATCAAAGTATAATCAGATATGAATTAGAAAAAAGAGTACATTTGTTTATATTAAAAAGAGAGAGATTAAATGTCTGACTAGATGCGACTTTATCTACTTGGATATTAAAATGAAATTTTAAAAATAAAGTAGACGCGTATGTTAAATTGAAAGGAAAGTAGCGTCAATTTTTATCAAAGTGAAATTAAAAATCTAATTGACTACAAATTTTTCTACTTGAATATAAAAGTAGAATAACTAATATTGTCAGACTTTTCTTTTTATTTTGTTTCATCATATAGTAAAAAATTATTAGTAAAAATTAACTAATTTTTAATAGAAAAATAAGTTTGGTAGTTTTTAGATATGACTAATAATTAGCCATGATAGTTAATAATTAGTTAGAACAGAAAATCATGCTAACTATGCAACTAACTATTAGCGATATTAGCTAACGATAATTATTAACCTAAGCAGCAATTGAGGTTAGTTACTCTCCAAATTTAAATTAGTAGAAATTAACTAATTCATTTTTTGCATTTAAATTAAATTTTACTAATTCGGTAGTAAAAAAAAATTGTTTCTACTAGTAATTAGTTTAATTTAACTAATTCAAAAGTGAGTCACTAATTCAAATTAGTTAACATATTTACTAATTCTTTAGAGAGTAAGGTAACTAAATTAGCGGATATAGCTAACGTTTTTCTTCCCACCTAAAATACTTATTTTTAACTAATTTAGAAGAGAATCGTGATTTAAGTAGAAAAATCAACGTATAGTCAGACGTAAGTCAAGTATGCAAAACAACACCAGAAAAGTAAAAATTTGAAAATTATTTCAGTTTATACTAAAAAATGCATACGTCCAGAATTGGAAAAATTTTCTTTTTTTTTCACAAGAAAGCACGTAATTGATAGTGCAATTACTTGGAAACTGTAAATTAATTTTGCCTAATGAAGATTATCAGTGTGATGTTTGAACTCGAGTGCGGCTTTAGGTCATCGCTATATATATATATATATATATATATATATATACAAAAGATTTGAAAGTAGTTTGGGAAGAGCGTGCCAAGCGTGCAGTAGACAGGCGAGCTTATACATACAATCTCGCTTGTTGTCTGGCTTGGAAAGCAAGCTTCGGAAAGCGTGACAGCCACGGAAGTCTTATAAACAATCTCAAGACCGATGGGAACGAAAGCGACCCTACGGTATACCCTTCTCCCCCCACCACCCAACCTTTCCGACTCACCTCCGACAAACAAGATCAATGGAGGACACTATACATACTATAAACACCCGTCTTCTGTTCACTGATCTTGTACACTTGGAATCGAAAACAGATACGACAGAAACATTCACAAAATCTTCACTCAAATGGAATGCGCATCCAATCAATTCTTTCCTCTTTTTTTTTCATCGAAATTCAAATTTTTAATTTTTAATTTAGTCAATGAATGCAGAGAAAAAAGGAATTTATTTAAAAAAAAATTATTTAATTTTAATTCAAATAATTTACTTGACAAATAAATATTTACTTGGGGCAAATAATTTTTTATTTGAATTAAATAAAATTTATTTCAACCAACAAATATATAATCAAAAATTTGATTTGATTAATCGTTTATCAAATAAATATTTAGTAGAAGCAAATAATTTTTATTTAAATTAAAATAACTGTATTTGAACTGACAATTTATATAAATACTTTTTAATTAATTCAAATAATAATTATTTGATACAAACAAATATTTATTTAATGAAAATAAATATTTATTTGATAATAAGTAACCGATTATTTGAATCAGACAAATTATTTGCTGAAAGCTTGGAATTATTTTCTTTATATATAATATTATTTCTATTTTATACTACGTCTGACACAAATTTGTCTATACTACTTGATTTTCTACAATTTGTAGGATAAAATCAATCAACTTGATTTTATACTATCTGGTTGTATATATATATATATATAGTGTAAAATTGCAACTATTGTATAAAATAAAGTAGTATAGACATAAATTTGGGTCAAACGATTCTTGGAAAATATTTTCTAATTTAGAAAAGAACTAAAACTTGTTATCAAAATAACTACATATAGAAAGATGGAAATACTTTTTAAGAACAAAAATTGATAGAAAAAAAATAAAAGTACAAAAAAATAAAAAAATTACAAAAAAATATAAATTAAATATAAATTAAATTTAAAAGAAAT